TTGAACCGCGGTCCCTGATGCTTTTGCTAAACTTGTTCTAAGTAGGTGCTTTAGACCACTGAGCCATCTCTCCAGCCCTAGGAATATATTTTAGTGAAAATAGCATCTGCGCAGCATGCTTGAAACTGGCTTCAATCTGCAGCATCACATACACACAAGTCTAAAGTGTATTTTTCTTTTTTTTGCAGTACCAAAGATTGAACTCAGGACCCTGTACTTGCCAGGCAAGCGCTTATTGTACTGAGCTATCTCCCTGGCCCCTAAAATGTATAGTTAAAAAGCAGTATTAAATATGCAACCTTCTATTCAATCCCCGGTTCCACACACACAAAATAAATAAATAACCAACCAACCAACCAACCAACCTTCTGGCAGTTATAGAAGAGTAAGAACAATTTCAAACAGATCAAAAAGAACCAGTTCATGAATTATAGATTTATACTAGATTCAAATTAAAATTATACTGCACAAGTCAAACATGGTGGTGCATGTCTATAATCTGAGCATTTTGGAAGCTGCCAGAAGGATTGCCACAAGTTCAATGGTAGCCTGAACTACACAGCAAGACCTTATCTAAACAAACGAAGTTATACTCTCCATTAAGCCTAGCAAGAGGCTTTACTCATCAGGGCAATATAAGCCATAAGCAAGCATGTTGAAACAGACTCATAAGATTATACATCTGTTCACTGGGTTAAGTCATTTACTGCCACAAGGACTACCACAAGGTAAATTTCATTGTTTTTCATATAGTCTTTTAGAAGAATTGGTTTCCAAAAGCCGGATAGGCAGGACAGCTATACAATAGTCTACAGTGTTTTTTTTCTTTAAATTAAACTGCCTATGGGCTGGCCAACTAACTCAGTGGATTAAAGCACCTACAAGCAGGCACAGGGGCCAGGGGTTCCATCCCTGGGCCTGCTGCACTGGCCCCGCCCCCGCCCCCAGGGTGTGCTGAGAAGGCATTTAAGACTGGGTATGGTGGTATGCGCCTGTAATCCCAGCTCTTGGGAGGCTGTAAACTGGCGGATCACTATGAGTCTGATATAGCAGTGAGACCCTGAACACCCTGTAGGCCCTTCCCTAAAAAAAAAAAAAAAAAATTGAACTGCCTAAAAGACTGATTATCCAAATCTAGAATGTAGTTGAGGAACTGATTTTTGTGATGCTTCACAGGTAGTTAAAATATACAGATTAAGAAATCAATGCATAGTTAACAGGAGTCTATTGGAAAAACAACAAAAAACCCAACCACACAAAAAACTGAAACACTTTGGAGTTTAGTGGATAAATTCTAGAGAACTATTTGGTAGAAGCATTGACTGATTACATATGTAAATGATCCTTTTGCCTCAGCCTCAGCCTCCCAAGTAGGTGGGATTATATGTGTGTATTACCTTGCTAGGCCAAAATATTTTTTTTGTTTTAAGATTATAACCTTGCTATGAAATACAAATTGGCCTTCAACTAACTACATAGGTGACCTCAAACCTGTGATCCTCCTGCCTCAGCTTCTACAGCATGAGATTACAGGTGAATCACCAACATACTTAGGCAAAAATTCTTTTGAGTTTAGTGAAATTTAGGGTTCATTGAGTTCTATTTCAGTTGCCTTGTTCTTGGTTTTTTTGGATTATTGTATTTTTTTGGTTGAATCGTTTTTTAGGAGAGGTTTTTTTATTTTTTGTTTTTGGTGCCGAGGTCCGAACCCAGGGCTTCCAGCTTGCTAGGCAAACATTCTACCATTGAGCCAAATCCCTGGCCCCAAAATTTTATTTTATCTTTATTTATTTATCTATCTATCTGCAGTATGGGGGGATTAAACTCAGGACCTTGCACTTGCCAGGCAGTGCTTATGCCACTGAGCTATCTCCCCAGCCCCCGGGGTTCTATTTCAGTGCTGATGCTATCACAGGTTCTGAAAAACTTTTGACTGCAAATATATGATAATTGTTGAGACAAGAGTAACTGAAAATGTAAATATAGGTTTGTCTTCCTTTTTTGCCATAAGCTTGTGAAATTTTCTATTTTTCACAGTTCCAAATGAACTGGATAGGGCTGGGGAGATAGCTCAGCAGTCTAAAGTGCCTGCTTAGGCAAGCTCAGGCTAAGCACAAGGACCGCAGTTTGATTCCTGGCACCACATGCCATGCTAGCCCCACCCCTAGGGCAGGTTGAGCTGGCTAAAAACAAACAAAAATGAACTGGATACCTCAACAAAATCCCTAAGTAGAAGGTCTTCTTAATTTTACTTTTCAAAAAAATTTTTTCAAATTTTGGGACAGGCATGATATTGTATCCTGTAATTGCAGCTACTTGAGAGGCTGAGGCAGAGGGATCTCAAGTTCAAGGCCAGCCAAAGGACCTTGATGAGACCTTGTCCCAGAATCAATGAAAGGGTGGGGATGGGAGTGAAGGCTGGAGATATAGCTTGGTGGTACAGCACTCCAGGGTTCAATCCCCAGTATCACAAGAACAAAACAAGCTGAGCAGGGTGGCACACATTTATAACTCCAGCACTTAGAAGACTGAGGCAAGAGGAATGCTACAAGTTCAAGAGCAGCCTTGATGACATAATGAGTTCAAGGCCAACCTGTACTATATAGCAAGTACTCGGTCTCAAAAAACAAAGAGCAAATAATTAGGTCAAGATTAAAAAGCAAGCTACTTTTGTATACACAAGTCATATGGTAATACTGTGTATTTTTCTGGATTCTTTTAACACAAATACTCTATGGTAACATGGTATCTAAAAGGCAACATGATGGCTGAAAGCAGAGGCAAGTCTGTTAGTGGTCTATGACTCCAGTGTTGCCAGAAGTCACTCCATGTCATTAGAACAGGAGGCCCCTGCTTCCACTGTAAAGAGCAGCATAATTTTGGAAGGGGAAGAGATGTAGAACTCTTCTTAAATAGATGGTAGGTGATTTTTCCACTTATGGGAGAGATGAACTAGGGTCTAAAAGGATGAAAAATAACTTTTTACCACAAGATCTTCCAGAGAAGAGCCATCACTGATAACAAGATCATTAAATTGATCTTGGATTTGGTCCATAGTTTGTGGGAGATCTCGAGCTGGAATAAACCATTCATGTTCTTCTTCTTCTTCCAGCATTTCTTGGAAACAGCGTTCAATAAATTCTTCTTCCCACAACTCCTCTTCTATCTAGATTTACAATAAATAAAAAGACAATTTATAACATTCTTAGTAACACATCACTAGAAGTGGCTAAAAGTAATCCATTTAAAGCCACAATGTTGGGCCTGGGAGATAGCTCAGTAGAATAAGTGCTTGCCTGGCAAGCGCAAAGGCCTGAGTTCAATTCCCAGGTCCTTCCCCCCAAAATAAATAAATAAATAAATACCCAAAATGTTGGGGATACGGGTATAGCTGAATAGTACATCACATGCTTAGCATGAACCCTTTCTGGGTTTAATCTCCAGACTACAAAAATTTTTACAAATAAAAAATGTCCTAGCCAGGCATGGTGGTGCATGACTGCAATTTCAGCAGAGCCTAGCCTGAGATACACAGTGAGACCCTGTTCTCAAGAAACAAAACCTCATCCAAAAAACAACCCCAGCTTACTATAATGACCCAGGTCCCATGAAGATCTGATTAGTTTTTTTCTATACTTTGACTATTTATTTATGTGATACAAGGTCTTGCTACACAGTTCAGAATCACAGTGATTGTCCTATCTCAGGCTCCCTAGTGCTGGGATTACAGGTGTGTGCCACACACCTGATTCCACACACCACAGCATGTTCTATACCTTTAGTTTGTGTCATCAGAATTACTTTTTCCACTGAGGATGGCAGTGGAAAGAATTATAAGAGGAAGAATTAAGAAATAAAGGAGTTCTTTCCTTTGAGGAATATGTATCAGATTTACCTGTGATACCTTAAAACTGTAAAAATCCTCAAAGAAAATCTCTTGGGAGTATGGCAACAGCATGAATAATCAAAATGACCCCCTTCCAACTGATCCTACTATGCATGAGGCCCTGAGCTCCATCCCCAGCACTGAAACAAAACACATCAACTGATTCTTACTGAAATAAGATTGAACTTGTTTAGTCTAGAACAGTGATGGCAAATCATTTAGAGCTTTCAATGAATGATATAGTCTGCTGTGGCATAAATGCTATAGGTTCAACACAACTGCTCTAGAATGTTCATTACTGAGGCTGGGGATTTAGCTCAGTGGCAAAATGTTTGTACAGCAAGCTGGAAGCCCTGGTCCTTGGCACCAAATGCAAAAAATAAACCTCAACTAAAAAATAAAACAAAACAAAAAAAAAAAAAAAAAAAAGAAAACAAACTAGGTAACTGCACACACAACCTTAAAAAGCCAGGCCTGGTTGTACACGCCTATAATTCTAGAACTTGGGAAGCCTGAAGCAGGAGGACTGTTCCAAGGTCAAGACCAGCCTGGGCTTCAAAGTGAGCTCAAGGCCACCCTGAACTGTATAGTGAAACCCTGTCTCAAGAAGACAAAAAAGGGCCAGCAAGATAGCTCAGTGGACTAAGCACTAAGAGCAGGGACCCATCCCTGGCACCACATGCCTCCCTATTCCCTGCATTGCACTTAGCCAGCCACAGAAAGTGGCATGGTGGCACACGCCTGTAATCCCAGTGCTGAGGAAACTGAAACAGGAGGATCACTATGAGTCCAAGCTGTGTAGTGAGACCCTGTAACAAATACAGTAAATAAAAAAAAGTCCACCATTGGATATAGAGAAGTCAAGCTGCCTACTTGCTACCAAAACCACAATCAAGGCAGAAATGAGAAGGGAGATGGAAAAAGATGCCAAAAATACATAAATAAAAGACATTTATCAATGTATGACAGTTCTCTAATGAGTGTTATCAGATTTTTCAGGTTTATCAGACTGAGGATCTCAGATAAAAGCAGCACAATTCTGTATCCTAGTACCTGTGTCCACCTGCTCCCAATTCCACAATTCCCTCGACTTGCATTGTAATACAATGATCTGGTGTAATACAGTGGTTTCCAAACCAGATTGCTCACGGGAACTACTGAGGAGCTTATAAAAATTTCTCAGTTTCTGCCCTAGTGCTCTTGAATCAGAATCTCCAGAGTCCATGAAACAAGGTGATTTCCCTAGGTAATTTCAACAGCAGTTAAGCTTAGTAGTAATAAAAAAATCAAACAAAGTAGAAGTGGTAGCATATACAGCCACATACAGTATTTCATAAAAGGAACAGATAAATGCATTTCAGGGTAAGTATAGTTATACTAAGGACTGTAATGGGCTATTAAAAACATTTATATTCCAAACTAACTTGTCTGTTGAATTCCTCTTCATTTTCCATCCACATGTACTCTGCAAATGGATTGTCATCTTCATGAGAATGACCGTTAATAATCACATCTTCATTGATGATGCTTGGGCTAGTACTGCTGCGACTTGGATCTTTCATGGTTGGCGTTAGTTGGCGTTTTTAACCTTAATAGAACAACAGAGTTAATCCAGTTATTCTTTCAGTGCTTAGTGAGCATTTATAGGTCCACCTAATGATTTCTGGTAACAGTAAATGAAAGTAGCCAACTTCTTATATACAATCTCCAAAGTATCAAATTTATGTTATAGGGGCTGGTGAGATGGCTCAGTGGTCTAAAGCACCTAATTAGAACAAGCTTAGCAAAGCACAGGGACTGCGGTTCAATCCCCAGCACCACATGCCAGCCAGCCCCGCCCCCTGGTGGGCTGAGCTGGCCACATACACACACACAAAAATTTAAATTATGTTATATCTGATTTTTTCATTTTTCTTTGGTACGGTGGGCTGGACCAAGGAAGCACTGAGCCACATTCCCAGTAAACTCTCTTTTCTTGTTACGCTGCCCATACTTGACTTGAACTTGTGATGCTCTTGCCTCAGTCTCCCTGCTAGCATACCTGTTGGATATTCTTTATTTTACAAAACAAGTATGCTCATCATTTAGTCATCATGTGAAGTAATGAAAACCAAATTATTTTAAAAGCTATTTCATAAACCCAGAGACTGAAAGTACAAGCATTTTCTATTTTTAGTTTCTCTATGCTTGGATATTCCTGACAGACAGCAAGTTTCAGGGACCTAATCTCTATTTACCTGAGTAAAATAGTATCAAATACAGTAGGTCAGGTTTTGGTTGTCATTAAATAATCTACTCAACAGCTGATAACATGATGTATTGTAGACTCAAAGTTTCCTTTTTCTTTTTTTGTACTGTGAATCAAATGTTGTGTTTGCCAGGCAGGCTCTTATACCCCTGAGCTATATCCGTAGCCCTAAAACATTTTCTTTTGAGACTAAAATGAAAGCATTAAAGAAATAAAACTGAAAAATAAAATTAAAGGAAGCAGCTTTAGATTTATGAGTTACTCATACATAAATTCAAGCAACAGCATGACTTGTGCCAAGTCTGCCAAAACAATACACCTAATATGAAAGCATATTTCTTATTCCTTTTTTGTTGTTGCTTTGATTTTCCATGATAAGGTCTCACTATATATAGTTTAGGCTGCTGTTGAATCTACTACATAGTACAGAATAGCCTCAAACTTGGAGTAATCCTTTTGTCTCATATTCTCCGGGGTTACAGATGTAAGCCGTCATGTCCTGTGCAAGCTTTTTGTCAGTTAAAAAAACACAGTGAGAGGGCCAGAGAGATAGTCTGGTAGTCTAAGCACCTGCCTGGCAAGTGCAAGGACCCAGGTTCGAACCCATGCCACACTGAGTCACTGAAACTGGGCATAATGGTGCACACCTGTAATCGAAGCACTGGGGAGGCTGACACAGGAGGATCACTATGAGCTCAAGCTGTATAGTGAGACCCTGTACCAACATTTAAAAAAAAAAGGGCCGGGGAGATGGCTCAGTGAAATAAGCGCTTCCCTGGCAAGCACAAGTGTCTGAGTTCAATCCCTGGTTCCGCAAAAAAAAAAAAAAAAAAAAAAAAAAAAAAGTTATCAAGATAAGTTTTTGCGGGGCTGGTGAGATGGCTCAGTGGTCTAAAGCACCTACTTAGATACAAGCTTAGCAAAGCACAGGGACTGCGGTTCAATCCCCCAGCACCACATGCCAGCCAGCCCCGCCCCCTGGTGGGCTGAGCTGACCACACACACACACACACACACACACACACAAATAAAAAATTAAAAAAAAAAAAAGATAAGTTTTTGCGAGGCACAATGGTATATACCTATTATCCCACAGGGGTTAGCATGCTTTGTGGTGCCAGGGATTGAACCCTGATCCCTGGTTAGTCTGCTGAGCTATCTTGCCAGCCCTGATAACAAGTTCTGACTAAATAGTAATCAAGTCTTCTAAAGAAAACCACTCATTCTTACATACATGTACTTAGGAGCTACCAAATATGTATGTACCCCCCCTTTTTTTTGACATAAAATCTCTGTAGTGCAGGCTGTCCATGAATTTATGGCAAACCTCGTATCTCAGCCTCCTGAGCGCTGGAATTATAGGCATGTGTCACCATGCCTTTCTTACTCATCTTTAAATGAATAAACTTTTATTTATTTATTTTTTTTGGCAGAACAGGGGATTGAACTCAGGCCCTTGCGCTTGCCAGGAAAGCGCTTATTCTACTGAGCCATCTCCCCGGCCCCAATGAATAAACTTGTAATAAATCCCATCTGTCAGAAGACTACAATATGAAAAAAGTCACAGAACACACCACTTACATATTTAACTAAAGACAGAAAAAGTTTAGCAGAGTATAGGTTATATAATATTCAACTGGGATTGAAAAATATTAGCTGTGTATGAGTCATATGTATGCAAAATACTTCTAACTTATTTTAAAATGCTGGGGGTGGGCAAGCATGGTGGCAAATGTCTGTAATTCCAGCAACTCCTAAGAGCAGGAGAATCCAAGTTCAAGGATACCCTGGGCAATTTAGTGAGACCCTGTGTTGCAATAACCTTGTAACCATGAAAATCTGCCCCATAAAACTGGGCAACAACAGGACTCCCTCTTCTGTTTGATATTCACCAGCAGCAAACAAAATTCAATAGTAGCTGTCTCAAAGGGGAGGAATCCCTGTACTTGAAAAGGCCTAGGTCAGCTTTTCACCCTCTTAATTCCTCATCAAAAAACCCCCTATGGCTGGCAGGGTATGATGGGTGGTACATATAATCTCAGGACTCAGAAGAGGCTAAGGCAGGAGTATCACTTAAGGTTTTGAGGTCAACCTATGGTACAGTGAGTTTAAGACCAGCTTGAACTACATAGCAAGATCCTGTCTCAAAAAAAACAAAGGCTGGGAGTATAGTTTAGTAGAGTATGAGCCTTGTTTGTGCAAGGTCCTGGCTTTGATCCCCAGTGCTATAAAACAAAAACTAATAAACCAAACCCTAGTTTTCCAGTATAGATCCCAGTGAGTCAATAACTTGAAATTAGTTTTAGCCAAGCAGTATTTGGAATAAAATAAAATGAAGCGGAGAGTCTGGGCATGGTAGCACAGCCTATAATCCCAGTGATGTGGAGGCTGAAGAGAGGAGGATCACCACGAGTCCAAGCTGTGTAGTGAGACCCTGCAACAACCAAACACATTATTAAAGAAAAAAAAAAAAAAATCATCTGCTTCAATAAAGCTGCTAAGGTCACTGAGAGCTCAAGGTGTCTCTGTACATACTAATGTAATAAATTTTATTTATATATTTAAATGTTTCCTTTATTTTTTTTAAATGGTCAGCTCAGCCCACCCTGGGGGCGGGGCTGGCATGGCATGTGGTGCTGGGGATTGAACCGAGGTCCCTGCATGCTTGCCTAAGCTTGTCTAAGCAGATGCTTTAGAACACTGAGCTATCTCGCCAGCCCCTAGATTTTTTTTTTTTTTTTTTTTTAAATGATCTGCGGTAAGCTCTTCTTTGACCATACTCTACAGCATACATGTGGTTTTTTAGTTTTTGTTTTTGTCTTTTTGAGACAGGGTCTCACTATTCAGTTCAGGCTGGACTTGAACCTACTTTGTAACCCAGGCTGGTCTCAAACTTTCAACAATCCTGGCTGGGGAGATAGCTCAGTAGAATAAGTGCTTGCTTGGTAAGCACAGGGCCTGAGTTCAATCCCCAGTAAAACTAAGCTTTGAGGGCCTGCTCATGCAAATGCAGTCAGGTGCAGGATACCACAGTTCAAACTCTACCTCCACCCGCCTTACCAGACCTGCCCTTAAGGCAGGTTGAGCCAGCACAAAAAACCACATTCCTGCCTCAGCTTCTCCAGTGCTGGATTACAGGTGTGCACCACCATACCCAGCTCCTGTGTATTTGTGTCTTATGTGAAGTCTTAAAACTGAGAGGTAACTTAAAGTCAGACACCAAATAACCACCTAACTCTAAAACATTTAAAATGTTAAACATGACATGTGTAAAATGTTTAAAAGCAGCATGGGGCCGGGGAGATGGCTCAGTAGAATAAGCGCTTTCCTGGCAAGCTCAAGGGCCTGAGTTCAATCCCCAGTTCTGCCAAAAAAAAAAAAAAAAAAGAAGAAGAAGCTTAAAAGCAGCATGTTTTAAAATCATCCTGCTTTGACTTAAATTTCAGCTCCATTTTTCACTAGATGTGTAACCTGGAAAAAAAAATCACTTAAAATTTCATTTCAAGGAGGGAATGGTGGCACAAGTCTGTAATCCCAGCACAGGAAACCTGAGACAGGCTTACCAGCCTGGACTACAAAGTGAGTTCAAGGTCAGCCTGAATCACAAAGTGAGACCTGATCTGGAAATGAGTGGCTCTTGGTTTCAGTGAGGCTGGGTGGTATATACCTATAAATCTTTTTTTGGGGGGCGGGGGCAGAACCGGGGATTGAACTCAGGCCCTTGTGCTTGCCAGGGAAGCGCATATTCTACTGAGCCATCTCCCCAGCTCCTAAGGGTAAAGGCAGAACATTATAAATTCCAGCCCACTCTAGGGTACATAACAATTTAGCAAGACTGTGTCCAATATAAAAAAACTTTAAAAAGGGCTGGAAATACAGTTCACTTCACTATTGAAGGCTCTAGATTTAATCCCTAGTACCAAAAGCAACCACCAACCAACCATCCAAAAAAGGAAAAAATGAGGCCCTGAGTTCAATCCCTAGCAACTCAAAGAAAAGAGAAGGAAAACCACAAAGGAACGAGGCCGTGGGGTTCCAGCTCTATTCAAGAGGCTAAGGGGAAATGATCACAAATTCATTGTGAGACCCTATCTCAAAATTAAAAAGCAAAAAAGGGCTGGGGATGTAGTTCACAGTGAAGCGTTGGGTTTTAATCTTTAGTACCAAGGGTGTTGGCGGGACAGTTGGGGTAGAGGGAGACTCTCCTCAGGAAGAAGACATCTTATTTCTAGGCTTATGGGCATGCACAAAACATTGTCAAGAAGAATGAATAGTACACAGAGATAAAATCCAGAGGAAAAAAAGACAAGGCATACTAAGCAAAATACAGCACAATTTACAGAAAGCATAAGAACCACAGACTTAAAACACTGGAATTATATGGCATTCGTAAGAAACAAATATTTATATTATACTTGAAAACATCTTCAGAGAGCAGAAAAAGAGCCTGGGGATACACGTCAGGGGCACAGCACCTGTCTGACAAGTGGGAGGTTTGATTCCTGGTCCCTCCCAGCCTAAAGAGCAGCAAAAAGAGAAAAAGTGCGTAACAGATTAGAAAAGAGCTTAATAAAACTTAAAAACATGGGGCCAGGGAGATGGCTCGGTGGAATAAGCACTTCCCTGGCAAGCGTAAGGGCCTGAGTTCAATCCCCAGTTCTGCAAAACGCTTAGAAACACATGCAAATTATAACATGAATTTTTTTTTTTTTTTTTAAAGAGATGAAGTCTATGCTGCTTGGGGGGGCCTTGAATACCTAGGCTAATATGATCCTTCTGCTTTAGCCTTTTACAGAGCTCCGTGGGGCTCTACTTTGCCCAGCTAAAATGTAATGATTTAGAAGGAAGAGTTAATTGAAAACCTAGAAGATTAAAAAAACAGAAAAAGGAAAAGAAACTACGGCAGTGAGGTCACATAATGCAGTGGACGGAGAACATCCAAGTTCCAGGAAAAGAGAAAAAAATGGGGCAGGAGCAGGGGCAGAGGCAGGATTGGATGTGATGAAAGACATCAGTGTATATATGTAAGAAACCAGAAACTGGATGAGATACATGCCCTGTAACTGCTGTTACTGGAATGGCTGGGACAAGAGGATTGCAAACTAAAAACCAGCCTGGGCAACACAGTGACACACTGTCTCAAAAAATAAAAAGGGGTTAGGTTCACAAGCATAATATTCAGTTTAGCAGTTTTGATATCTTCTCAGATGAAGAAGTTCGGCAGGGGCTAAAAACCTATTCCAACTGGCCCACCTAGCACTAGCTGTATGTTTCTGGAGAGCTTATAGGAGGCCTTGATATAATTAAGGAGCTAGAAGCATCTCAAGAACTACAATTTGTCCCAAAGCTCCCAAATTAGAAGAAAGGCTCAAAGTGCTGACAAATAAAGCTTCTGTGATGCTCTTTATTTCGAAAGGAAACAAACAGGAAGCAAAATGTGGATTTAGCAAACGAAATCTGGAAATACTGAATAGTACCAGTGCTGAATTTGAAACATTTGATATATTGGAAGATGAAGAAGTTCGGCAAGGATTAAAAGTGTACTCCAACTGGCCAACATATCGATATCTCAGGTGTATGTGAAAGGGGAGCTCACTGGAGGACTGGATATTGCTAAGGAACTGAAAGAAAATGGTGAATTGCTGCCTATACTGAGACAAGAAAATTAAAAATGTTAAACATGGTGACCAACTGTTATAAGACAATTACAGGGAAGCAGTTCATGATTTCGGTCTCAGAAATGGACTAGGAGTCTACAGCTATGCTTTGTGCATTTCACAAGGTTGTGCTAAATGATGTTACATTTTTTTCCACCAAAAATAGAATGTAATAAACATTATTTTTTTTTTTTTTTTTTTTTTTTTTTTTTGGCGGACCCGGAGACTGAACTCAGACCTTTGCGCTTGTCAGGCAAGTGCTTATTCTACTGACCCACCTCCCTGGCCCCAACATCTTAATTCAGTTAAAAATAAAAAGAGGTCAGGGATGTTGCTCCACGGTGCAGTGCCTGCCTGCCAAGTCCAAGGTCCCGAGTTCAATTCCTGGTACCAAAATAAATAAAAGTGGGCAGGGTATACAGTGCAGTAGTAGAGAAGCCTGGGCTCAATCCTTAGTACTAAAACAATAACAACAACCTCCCTTCATCCAGACTGCTAACCTATAGAAAATAGTTGGAAAACATAAGTGAAATGGAGGGACTGAGGAGATAGCTCGGTGGTCTCAGTGCTTGCCTGGCAAGGAGCCAGGTTCAATTCCCCAGTACAGCATGCCTAGCCAGCCCTGTGCAGAGCCAGCCACTGAAACCGGGCATGGTGGCACAAGCCTGTAATCTCAGTGCTGGGGAGGCTGAGACAGGAGGATCACTATGAGTTCAAGCTGCTAGTGAGACCCTGTACCAAATAAATTAAATAAATAAATGATTTAAAAATTAAAAGAAATGGAAAATGTTCCATTCTTACATTTGGGAATAATCTGAGTTACAAGAATTAGGGGATCTCTAATGGAAAATAAAAGCAAATTGAACAGGCTTGATATGTGTGCATGCGTGCGTGCGTGCGGTAACAGGGATTGAACTCAGGACCTTATACTTGCCAGGCAAGCACTTATTCTACTGAGTTATCTCTCCAGCCCAAAACTAGTATTATTTTTAACAATTTTTAATTTTAATTTCTTTTGCTCTAAGTCAGCTTTGCTATCTCCTTGGTTATAATGTTAATTAGGGAAGTTGGTATGCATTCAGTTAATAAACACATACAGCTTCTGGAAGAACATAAAAGAAGGGCTGGGGAGATGCCTCAGTAGAATAAGCGCTTCCCTGCAAGCGCAAGGGTCTGAGTTCAATCCCTGGTTCCGCCAGAAAAAAAAAAAAGGAAGACTATAAAAGAAACTGAGAAGTCAAGTGGTGGTACAAGCCTATAATCCCAGCATTCTGGCAGGACTGCAAGTTCAAATCTGGCCTATGTAACTTAACCTTACCTCAAAACAGAAAGTTGGGGAGATAGCTCAGAGGTACAAGCACCTACCTGGTAAGTGCAAGGTCCCGAGTTCGATCCCTGGCCTTACACACTGCACTGCCCTCCCCAACCCCACTGGAAATGGCCATGATGATACACGCCTGTAACTTCAGCACTCAGAGATGGAGGCAGGAGGATCACTTTGAGTTTGAGACCAGCCTGGGGGCTACAAAAGTGAGCACAAGACCAGTGTGAACTGCATAGTGAGACCCTGACTCAAAAAACCAAAAAAAAAAAAAAAAAAAAGCCAGCCAGATAACTCAGCAGACTAAACAGCCTGCTTAAGCACAGCACAGCACTGGGGTCCCATGCCAGCCTCTACCTTGGGGCGCACTGAGATGCCAACTGAGTCTGGGCGTGGTGGCATGGGCCTGTAATCCCAGGCTGAAAACAGGAGGATCACTACAGAAGTACGATCTGTGTAGTGAGACCCTGTACTAAAAAAAAAAAAAAAAAAAAAAAAAAAAAAAAAAAAAAAGGCTTCAGTGATAAAAGTCTCTGGGTTTAATCTACAGTACCGCCATAAAACAAAAAAAACCTCAAACAAATGAGAAGCAAATAACACACCTGACAATGCATGTTAATAAAAAGATCAATATCCCAACTTAAAGCTGGGCAAAGGATATGAACAATTACCTAAAAGACATATAAATGACCAATTAAATGCATAAAAAATTAACAAGCTTAGCATTCAGGTAAATACAAATCAAAACTACAGTGATATGTCAGTTCATATTCACTGGGATGGTGAGGAGGGAAAAGATAATAAATGTTGGTGAGGATATGAAGAAACTCAAACCCTCACTTACTGATGGTGGGAAAGTAAAATGGCACAGTTGCTTTGGAAAACAGGCTGGTAGTTCAATGGCTTACACAAGGAATTACACATTGAACTACCAGATTAACAAGGGTGACTGGCAAAGGACAGTTCACCCTATTCCCATCATCACTACTGTTAACAGCATCCTAATTTACAGAGATTTAGTTGATAACCATTAGGTACAGGTAGCTTAAAATCAGCTCAACTGCACACATTAGATGCTGTCCTTCTGGGCTGGACACAGCTCAGTGGCACAGAGCCTGTCTGAAAAGTGTGAGGACCTGAGTTCGATTCCCTATAACCACGAAAAATAGAATGCAAGAGTCTGGAAAAGAGGTAGATGTTAAAAAAAAAAAAAAAAAAAGAAGAAGAAAAGAAATACAAAATAAGATGTGCTTCTTTTGTGCTACTGGTGATTGAATGCATGCATGGCCTTTACACTGGGTTATACCCTTAGCAGTTTTAAAAATTTGTTTCTATTGAGACACAATGTTGCTAGATCACTTTGTAGCCCAGGCTGGTCTTGATTTTGGGATTGAACTCAGGCCCTTGCGCTTGCCAGGGAAGCACTTATTCCACTGAGCCATCTCCCTGGCCCTGGTCTTGAATTTTTAATACTTCTAATTCAGTCTTCCAAACAGGTGGGATTACACATGTGCACCACCATACCTTGCTATTATTTCAAGGGCTCAATAGCTACATATGCTCTAAACAATGAGGAAATTAAGAAAAACAAATTTTATTAGAACTGAATGTTAGGCCATAACATATGCAAAGTATTAATACACCCGTGTTAACAGTCCTGATTGCAAAGGCAAGGTCTTAGACAACTAGATTCAAACTGGGTATAGTGGCACACTCCTGTAATCCCAGCACTTGGGAGGCTGAGGTAAGAGGACTGCCATAAATTCAAGGCCATCCTGGCCCTGCTTACTAAATTGTGATATTGGTTTAAGTGACACTGGGTCTAAGTTATCCAGGTTTATATCAAACTTGCCAATCTCCTGCCTCAGCCTTCCAAGTAGATGAGGTTAGGGGTATGAGCCACCATGGTAGGTGATCACCTTATTCAATCTCCTACATCTATTAATACCTATTGAATTGTTCTAACAATGGTCATTTTCTAAATGTTTACTAAAACTGGAACATCATTTTCTGGAATCATAGGCTTACCACTTATTCAAAAAGCCTGCTATAAAATTTAACTTGGTCTGAAAGGGGGTGGAAATTACCTACCTTAATTTGAGTTCCTTTTAACCATTACAGCGACTCTTCTCCCATTTGTCCTCCCCAAGAAACACAAACAAGCTATTTTTCGGGTTACCTATCTTTATTTTGTGACATTTATTTGTAAGAATTAATTTTGCTCAAATTCACAATATGAACATACTAGTTTGTCCAAAATATTCTGTTCTTCATAAACCAGAAACTTCTGAACCACAAAACAGTTAAAACTGGGAGTCTCATTAAAAATTATCAGAGACCTTCCTTTTCTAATCTGCAAACATAACCTACACCTGATGAAATTTCAGATTTAATGAAAATGCCAACACTGGATCAACTGTTCGAATAAAATTCGAAAAACGACACCACAGTACAAGACGTGCCAAACGCACAAAACGGGATTTTTGGTCTGAAATGAACAACCAAAAGAGGCAGAGAGGGTATCTTTTAGAATCCGCAAAATAACACTGCTGGCTAGCAACACGTTTCGAAAAATGTTAACTTTGCCACAACCCTTCATCCCCCTATGGTGGAGGGGAGGGCGAATAAATACACACTATTAAAAGACAAGACCATAACCAAAGAACGTGAACTGAATGGACTCTTAAAATTCAACTTGTTCAGTGCTCTCCTGGAAGAAAGGTTCCCAAGTGCCCCTAGATACAGGTCCTCCTTTCTGGAGGAGGGATACAATGAAACTATAGAATTAAGGAATATAGATGGCAAAGAAACGGGATATAGTAGATCAGCGAAGTACTGTACAGGCCCGTCGACCGTTGCAAGTGCTCCCTTAGGACAACGCCAGCCCGCTAAGTACTGTACAGGCCCGTCGACCGTTGCAAGTGCTCCCTTAGGACAACGCCGGCCCGCTATCCTCTCCACCCCTATCTCTCCCCCCATCCCAGCTTCAAGGAGAGCGCGCACGCGCAGCCAGCAGAGGCCGCGCGTGGCGACGCGCAGGCGTAAAGTCGGTAGAAACAATGAGCTTTGTTGCCGCGGTGGTAGGGTGGGGGGGCAGGGGAGAGGGTAGCCGCTGTTGGGGGGGGGACTCGGGGGCAAAACGGGAGGTTAAGGGACAGGAGAAAGTACTATCCAGGCAATCTTCGCGCGCCACCGAAGACCCGGATAGAGACCTAGTTACAAGGTCTAAATCATAAAGACAATGAGATTAAAAAAAAGGACGGCCATTTATCAGAGAAGAGTGAAGTCGGCCCAAGCTCATCTCTCAGATATGGCGGAAAAATAGGCATGAAACAATGGAGGCCATAAAAGGCCTAATGGCCAACCCGGAGGGCGTTTTAGGCCCCTAGGTACTGTCCATCGACCGCTGGGCACGCCGACCGAGGGGACAGCTCCGCCCGAGGGGACCTCTCACCCAGTGCACGACAGCGGGGAAGGCAGCCAACGAATCCTGTCGGCCTCCGCGGATCTCTACAGGCAGCGCGGCTCCCCCGCTCGACGTGCGCTTCGCCCGCCGCCTCCCTTCTCCAGTCCAAACAAACACCAGCCCGGAAGTGACTTCACTTCCTCCGCCGCCAGCCCCGCCCTCTCGTTCTGTGAGCGCTGCCTTCCTAGACCACTGGAAGGCGCAAGAGAGAACGCATCTCCAGAGGTCTCTGCTTGAAAAGCCACAGCTGTGCTCGCCCAACAGCCTTGGCTGCGCACACGTGCGACACACAGTGGGTTCTATCAGGAATGCCGTCTCGTTCTTTCTGGGGGACAGGACTTGGAGGCAGGCCACTGTCCCACCCCCGGAGCCGCCCACCCTTCGAGGATGGGATAATGCGAGCGAGCGAGCTAGGAACCAAGAAACATGAACTTTTACGTGACACTTAGAGGAAGATCTTCCTAACAGCGTGCTTATACATACACATTGAATGTGTCAGACTAAATGATAAGCACAGATGTCACGTCGCGATGCTCACAGAAACATAATAAAGACATTCACAGGCCATGCTTCTCGATCTGCAAGTGCCTGTAGTGACACTTTTACGGGCACACACACTTTGAAGTAGGGCTTTTATGTTGAGGAAAAAAAAGTTCAAGAATCCCATCTAGGGGTGGTATGATAGAGCAAAAAGTAACACAAGCGCCTGTCTAAAGTGTTACTTGTGCAAGGTCCTAAATTCGATTATGGTAATAAAAAAATGAATCCCTTCTATGACCCTTGGTGCTCTCCCCCTGTCCATTATCATCTGCCACTTCCTTGCTGTCACTGGCTCCAAGATAAATTTCTAGTGATAGGAAGACCGAAGTAGCTAAGAGTTGTATGTGGAAAAAAAAAAAAAAAAAAAAAAAAAGCAAGGTCTGTATGTATACACATTGAATTGAAAACAGACATACCAACTCCAATAATGAAATAAGGAAATGAATGTAAATAATTACCTCTGTGCATGAGTAAAGCAGAGATACGTGAACATTTCTTTATATTAAAATCTGAATGTTTGAAACACTAAATAAAATTGCCTCTACTCTCTTGGAAAATGAATCTTTAAAAATTGTAATATACACTAAAATTATTTAAAATTTCATACATGGGAAAGCCTGAATCCACAAACCATGCTTTCTCCTGAGTCATTTCATTCATTGAAGAATGCTTTGGGTCAGTCCAAAGCTACAAAAAACAAAAAGCACAAAAACCAGCAGGTGTTCTATTTGGACCCGATTCAGCCACTTTATTAACACTTAAAACTATTTTAAACTGGAAGCAAGTTTGGTTTTCTTGCTTGCTGAACATATGGCTTTCAGGTTGTACTAATTGAAAAGTGCTGGTGAAGAACCTGGGGAAAAAGTGATCAGGGAAAGAAGCGGTATGGGACTAGTGAGATGGCTCAGTCGTCTAAGCACCTGGTTCGGCAAGTGTGAGTAGACTACAGTGTCTCTGCAGGCCTATAATCCCAGCACTGGGGAGGCTGCAAACAGGAGGATCACTATAAGCCCAAGCTGCATGGTGAGACCCTATACTAAACACATAAAATTGGCGGCAGGGTGGGGGAGGTAAGAGGTATGAGCACAACAAAAATCAAGAGCAGTTCAGATAATCTGTACCCCCCTCCCAATCCGAGACAAGGTCTTGCTATAGTTTAGGCTGGCTTCAATTTGCTGCAATTCTGTCTCAGACTCCTAGGTGTTGGGGTTACAGGTGTGTACACCAGCTCACTTATGTTTACCATGACTATACTGGCTCCTTTATATAATGGTAATCTTGAAAACTACGTTCCAAGTCCTGGTTTCTTTATGTGAACCAAAGGCCTACTCTTTCACACAAAAAAGGGCCTTGAGTTCAATCCCTAGTGTGTGGGTGGGGGTGAGGTCCCAAATGGCAGTGAAGTCCCAAATAGCAGTATGTTCCCACTGTAAACACTTTGTCTTTTGTTAATATTAGAAATATCTAACAACAACAAAAAATCTTCTAGCTTACAGTCCACACAGTTTTTGTCAGGGTCTCACTACAGTTCAAACTGGCTTCAAACTATGTAACCCAGGCTGGCCTCAAAGCGGTAGTATTCCTACTGTGCTAGACTCCCAAGTGCTAGGATCACAGGAGTGCACCATGACCCATAACTAGTCAACACTTTCAATGCTTACTGTGCCACCACATGTGAAAGTACTTAAGACACACAGAGTACCTGGGAAGTGGCTCAAGTCTACAATCCAAACATTCTGGGAGGCTGAAGCAAGAGGATCCTAAATTGAAGCCTGATCTGAACTTAAAAACCTATTTTTATCCTTTTAGGTCTTCATTAAAATTTAAAGCTGACTTTAAAACAAAGATCAAACCTTCATATGATGAATATACAGGATGAACAGTTTTTTGGAGATTAAGGTATACATCGGGAATAAAGATTTTTGCATAAGTGATGATATATATGAGCACACAGGCATCCTGATAAAGGCAAAAATTCTTCTCAAGCCTGGGCTAAGTCCTTTCCTCTTGGTTTTGTGCAGTTTGCTGCTTAAAAGACAGGCTGCAGGGCTGGTGAGATGGTTCAGTGGTCTAAAGCACCTACTTGGAATAAGCTTAGCAAAGCACAGGGACCGCGGTTCAATCCCCCAGCACCACATGCCAGCCAGCCCCGTCCCCTGGTGGGCTGAGCTGGCCACACACACACATAAATAAAATAAAAAGACAGGCTGCAGTAGCAGCCAGGTAAATGAATTATCTGTGCCATCTCAAGTTTACAACACCAGTAAATGTTACCAGGCTGTCATGATGCCACAAAATTTCAAAGAAACCTTTATTTTTTAAATCTTATTCCACGTCCATTTCACTTCTTAAAAAAAATGTATTTTACTACAGGGTCTACAGGGCATTGCTATCCTATCCAACTCGTAGTGATTCTCCTGTTGTCAGTCTCCCAAGAGCTGCAATTACAAGTGCATGCCACCATACATGCTCTCAATCGCTGTCTCAGCCCATCCAGGAGATGAGTATGAGCATGGGGCCAGCACGGCACACGGGATCAAACCCTGGCTGCTGTGCTCTGCCTAAGGAGGGGCTTCAGTCTGCTAGGCTATCTGGCTGGCCCCATGTCACCTCTGAAATAGCTGATCACACATTTACAAAATATTCCTACCAAACAACATGACCTGGGAAAACACTATGTTGTCCCTCAAAGTTTTCCATCATTTTAAAAAATGCATTGCACTGAATCTTTAGCCAAATGTTGACTATTTTTCCAGTAGTTCCTTCCATTTTTTGCTTTGTCAGGGAAAAAAAAAAAAAAAGAGAGAGAGAGACAAGTGTGGTGGCACACACCTGTTGTAATTCCAGCATTTATTTAGAAGGCTGAGGCAGGAGGATCAAAATGAATTTGAGGCCAGCCTTGGTTAGAGCTCCAGACCGGCTTGCTACATTATCAATACCGACTCCACCACCACCACAACCACCACCACAACCCCTAAACAGAGGGAAGAAAAAGTACTTTTAGGGACAGTAACCATTCCAGGGTTTGTGTTACAACTATCAAGCAGTTATAGGTAAAACTGTGTCATCTCTATACTTCATATCACCTGAGAAGCGTTTAAAATGAGCTATCAAGAGCCATCTGAAGAACAGCCAAATAGCTCAGCGGATTAAAGCACCGACAAGCAGGCTCAAAGGCCAAGGTTTCAATCCCTGGGCCTGCCATGCCGGCTCAGCCCACGGAGCACACTGAGATGGCGATTGAGACTGGGTATAGTGGCGCCTGTCTGTAATCCCAGCTCTTGGGAGGCTGGAAAGAACAAGATCACTATGAGTCCGATCTAGTAATGAGACCCTGAACATCCTATAGACCCTTCCCTAAAAATACAAAAAATTAGATTTAAAAAAAGATCCATTCCAAATATAGCAAATCAGAATAGAAGAGCCCTACAATGTTTTCATCTCTAATTTTGCTATGCATTAACATTTAGGAACCACTAGTAAGAACTTCATATAAGTTTGTGCCCTAGAGCTGTTTAATAATGTTAGCCTTTGAGTGGCAGGGTCCTTTTATATTCAGTTGGCTTTTAAAAAGGCTCAGGGCTCTCGTCAAGGAATATCTACAACCCAAAACCACTTAAAGCCTAAGCTTTCAGCTACACTGAGCCATAATGGTATCCAACAAAGATGTGGCCAAAGAGCTGCTTCTGTTAAAGTGCAAATTATAAAAAGCTGACACAAACATGTTTGTAATCTCGGTATTCATTAGGTTTAGAAGAATTTAAGTTCACACACATTCTGGGAAATATAACAAGGACTGGTCTCAAAAAATGTGAAATGAACAATAAGAGCGCCCCTCCCCCATCTTCCTTCCCCTTTCACAGCCCTGCTATATCACGTTAAAATAAGGTATAGAGACATGAGGCATGGTGGGGCACAATTGTAATTCCAGCACTCAGAAGCTGAGGCAGGACTCTCACCAACCGGAGGCCAGGCTGAGGTGCGTAGTGAATCCAAGGCAAGCCTCAACGGTGTATCACCAAAAAAAAAAAAAAAGCAATTTCTTAAGGAATTCAGATAGAATCTTTAAAAGTCCTTGGATTTTTTTTTTTTTTTTTTTTTTTTTTGAGAACTGGGGATTGAACTCAGGCCCTTGCGCTTGCCAGAGAAGCATTATACCACTGAGCCCTTTCCCCGGCTACAAGTTCTTGGAATTTTACCATCCCAAACATCTAGTCAAGCATGGTAGCATACTGAGCCTAGCACTCTAAGAGGCTGAGGCAGAAGAATCCCATATTTGAGACCAGGCTAGGCAACAATGATGCAGCTCAACAAAGAAGAAAAAAATTTCCTAGAGATGTGATGAGATAACTCATCTTCCTGATGAAACTGATCTTAAAAGTTACTTTTTCTCCCTGAGATGGGCAGGAGTTGCCCAGGATGGCCTCCAACTGGGGCTCTTTAAACTTATTTCAGCCTTGAGTAACTGGAATTGCTGGTACATGTCATTGTACCCAGCAAAATAAAATTTTTAGGATACTCAAAGCAATACTACATAGCTACCCAAGTCCTGGCTGCCTCAGAAACACTATTATGCTCTGAATTTACTAGCAAAGAGTGAAGGAGGGAAAAAAGTATTTCCTTACATGTCTATAACAACAACTTGACTGAGGATGAAATAGTGGCAAGAAGAAAGTTCTTAAAACTTTACAGCAGGAGCCCGGGAGATGGCTCGGTAGAATAAGCACTTCCTTGGCAAGTGCAAGGGTCTGAGTTCAATCCCCGGTTCCGCAAACAAATAACCAACCAAAACTTTACAGCAGGTTTATTTTTATTTTTTATTTTGGCAGAACTCAGACCCTTGCGCCTGCCAGGGAAGCACTTATTCTACTGAGCCATCTCCCTGGACCCTACAGCAGGTTTAAATGGAAAATATTCCTATTGAAGTTTTACTATCATCTGGGAAACAGATGTTACACTAGAAGCTTATATATAAAAGTTTTTCACTGATAAGGATTCCACTGTATAATGTTTTCTGCAATGGCTGTTAATAAACAGAATCAAACCAAAGTTGGTAATTAGTAAAGTCTAAAACCAAAGTAAACTGGCAAGGATTTTTTTTGTACATGTTACATACACTAATTTAGTCAATTCTTCATGGAGCAGACCTTAAGATTTTACCCAATTATCTGAAATACATATCCTTTAACACATCTGGTCTCAAAAGTCTAACAGTTGTTCTTTCTGCATTTAACATTAGTTTATTTGACAAGGTAACTGAACACACCCTGAAAGGCTGGCAGAACTAATTCTTGCTAGTCTGTTATTTCTACTTTTATTGTTAAAGGCACAGATATTGTCTAAACATAAGCCTTTGCAATTTCTTAGTTTTAACATTTTCAACTCACAGAATTCTACAAAGCCATGCATAATCTCATGTTTAATTATGTAACAGGAACAAGAAATCCACCAGCACCATAAAGTTTAAAATTCAGATCTTTAGTAGCAGTCTTTAGACACACTAGACTACAAAAGCAATTTGTTAAAGCATGCACAAAAGTGTAACAGTGAATAAAAACCACAACTGACAAATGTATTGGTTAACATTCCAAACATGTATAACCAAAGAACATGGCCTAGGTTTTCTTTTTATTGGTATTCACTTCAGTAACTTGAATCCACAGATATAAGCAGTATATGACCAGAGTTACAAGTAAACACAGATTACACATGCAAGTTTCTGTTCACAAAGGTCACATGTGCAGGTACATGAATTAGAAGCGTGCGTCAAGAATTATGGCCAAACTGTTTTCAAAAGGCAAAAATGTAAAATAACATATTGAAAATACAGAGATAGTCTACACACTTCAAAAATCAAATGTTGCTTATAACGAAGAGATGTATGACAGCTATAGGATTCAAGTGACAAGCAGTAAGATCCTCAGAAATTAATACTGGTCAAAGAGAACGGGAATATTTTTACATTTCACTGAAAATACATTGACTACTAGAATACGAAACCTAGCAGGAACTCG